CTTGTGTTCTCAACATTCGTGCTTTCCCAGGGGTACCTTTGTCAGTGTCAAAGTCTACTCCTGCTTGTCAAACTAAACTTCTTATGCCGCATTGGACTTTAAAATGAAGTCTGTACTAAGGAAGACTTCCAGGGCAACCTCTCCATCTGAAAAAAGCTAGTTCCCTGACCCAAGATTTTACTTTGACGTTTCCAAACTGCATACTTATTGTGGGTCAGTGTCTCAGAAACTACTGAAGCAAGAGGGTTACCATAACAGCCAGTCAACTAGCATGTTGAGAAGGTCAGTAATGGCAACCTCCATACTATTTCTCTCATGTATTTATCTTCCCTGTTCATAAATCCATATGATCATCTGGAAAAATTCCATTACCACTTAGCTGCTGTTATCCAGGAATTGGGGGACTTGAGACCAGCCTTATCAGTTTTCTTACTCACGTTGGCCTGAAAAAAACAAGACAACATTGGCATTTAGTTATAAGCTGAGTTAATATGTATATAAGGCATAAGAATATGAAGACATAGAGAGGTATGGTGAAAGAAGATGGCTCGGTCATCAGCTGTAAAAATGGCCAACGGAGACAATGAATTGAAAGCCACCTCTGACTGTAATGATTTGTTAAGCTTAACGAGCACACTAGGAATTGTTCCTGAATTGTCATGGTACGTCGCTAAAGAGCAGAACATTCAGGGCGTATGGCAGCGTTCGCCAGTTCATAATGTTCTAGAATTATACAACTTCATTTTATTACCTTGTGTGCTGACTGACAGAACATCTACATGACACACAGTCCCCTCGGTAGTAAGTCCTCATTTCTACCCAAGAACTCAGAAATAAAACAGCGGATTATATCACATGTTGAAGGTTAACAAATGTGTGGTCTGAATAATGAAGCACTGCTAGAGAGTATTATATATATATATACATATATATTTTTATATATATATAGATATATACATATATATCTAGATTGATGTAAACCTTTCACTTGAAACGAAAACTCACTAAACCACTAAGTAGGCAAATGAAATACATATATGGTAGCTGTTGTTCCTGCCAAAAGATTTGTATTTCTGTCCATCCAGTCCTGAGATTCACGTGGCTCTGTCCACACAGCACTGTCCTGTCTAAAAACACAGGAGACCTGATTTTTGTCAGATGCACTTGAGTGACTCTTAAAGGTGTTGCCCTCCCCCATTCTGTGACCGGACAGTGAAAGGAGAAGCAGCAGACTGGTAAACCTATCTACTCTCTCCTCCTATCAGCATATCCCTTGTGAGCACATGAGCACTGCAGCTCTTTGTGCCTTGTCTCCTTCTCCCAGTCTAGGTTCTGCTATACAGGGACTGCAAGGGGCTAATACCAAGCCAAGTTCAGGTGCTTACACTGCTTTTATTTAAAAACATACATTTAAGGATGCATTAGTGAATACAGAGCTGCATTCATTTTGTATTTTATATCTGCCCGGAGTTCAGCTTCAAAACAAACCACATCTGGTTTAGACTACAATTGCTGACCGCCTTTTGAAAATGTTAATTGCCTGGCTGGCATGTTAGCACTGACATGACTTTTTTCAAGCAAATTTTGTCCTAATAATCCACATGGTGACATTTGAGGCTCCTTTCAGAGACATTGGAATTGTCAATATCATCCATAGTCATGACCTATGTATTTATTTTAATTTTCTTTGTAAATTTACAGTAAAAAGAAGTTTGGTGTGCCGACCTCCAATGAGGAAAGTGATATGCTCGCCAGGTGATCCAACCATAAGAGGAACTGAATGTACCAAAACTTGCCAGAACTATGAATTTGAGTGCATGAGCCCCTTCTGTATTTCTGGCTGCCTGTGCCCTGAAGGAATGGTAAGAACCTTCTGAAATTGCATATTATCCAAGCTACTCGTTGCCTTCACAAGGGCATTCCAACAGTAGTTTTTACAAATTAGTCACAAGATGCAAGGTTTAGGAAACCAGACAGAAACTTAAAGTGCAGGTTTAAAACAACAATAAACTTAAATGACAAAAAAAATGGAGAAAGCCTAGGACAACGTCAGTGCCAAAATGTATCAGCAGATGGTTAGATAGAGAACTGGTGTTTGCATCATCACTTTAAGACAGATATAGTCCAGACGTTTTGCCAGTGGTTGCAGAATGATTACGTTAATGGTTTGGGTAGTAAGAGGATGCCAAAGAGATACAAACAGGGCCATAGACAATGCAAACAAGCCATACTGCAAGCAACTGGACAAAGAAGAGTAAGAAACCCTGACAGCAAGTGACAGAACAGGGAGCCTGGGAGGGAGCCTGGGAGGGACCTTCCTGCCCCCACCCAGCTTCCTGATTGGAGGGGAGCCCTGGGGAGTTTGGCTGTAAGGAATGTCATTGGCAAGTGCTGCTGTGCTCTGTAGCGGTGGAGTGTGATCTCTCCACTATCTCAGAGACTAAAAACCAGCACCTGCTGTTGCTGTTTCGGTGTTGCACTCGGGGTGACCAGGGTGTGCCCACTGCCCAGGCACACACGGCACACCCTGTGTGCACGCCTATGCTCAAGTTATAGTTCTTCCCTGTCTGATCATGCGACCGGTCATCTATTCTGTTAAATTGTCTAATTACAGCCCTGCATGTAGAAGCTTTCTTATAAGTAATCAAACTTTTTCTACCAGGTTAGAGAGTGTCAGTCTCTATAGTCAATTTTCCATAGGAATTTACACTATATCAGCGTTTCTCAACCTGTTTTCAGTGATGGCACCCTTTAAAAGTATGCAAAATCTCAAGGCACCCCAGTCTAAAATGTCATAGATTTTAAGGGAGACCCTACCATTGAAGTGCCCCCTTTAAATCAAGACCCCCCTTCACATCAGAGTTACCCTTTGCATCAGTAGTCCCCCTTCACATCAGAAGCCCCACCTTTTAAACCAGAGTTCCGGCTTTATAGCAGGAGCCCCCCTTCACATCAGCCTTTATTCCCCCCTTCACATCACAGACCCACTACCACAACATTTTAAGACACCCGTGAGGGAGATAGAACTTACACTAGGGTGCCACAGCACTTTGGTTGTGAAAGTCTGCACTACATAACCATACATTTGTAGACACCTGACCTTCACACCTATAAGCTTGTGAAAGATCCCATTCCAAAACCATGGGCAGGGTATTACTCTTCACCCACTATAACAGCCTCCATTATTTTGAGAAGGCTTTCCACAGGATTTGGTACAGAAGCTGCCAGTTAATAATACATTTGTCTCTACCGTTACTGGATTTCCCCGCAACTGTCTTTGTAAATCTCCCCCTCAGCTTCAATTCATCCTCTAGTACTTCCAATCTGGAATTTTATATCACACTGCAATTACTCGACCGAATGAGTTTGAATCTACAATAATTAAAGTTTTTCCTTCCAGTTGACAGATGGAATTAATCCAGCACACATACAGTACAAGTGACAAGTGATTTATAGTCTTATGGAGGTTAAACTCAAAAGCACATCTGGTTTTGTGTGCGGTTCCCCCGTTTTACAGATGCGTAATGCGAAGCACGCCGAGGTCAGCAGACTTGTTATAGACATATAATGACCGAGTTCATAGCCGGTCCCAAGGGCCTCTACGTTAAGGAAGAGTTTCTCTCTTGTAGTGGGATATTATGGGGCTGATGTATGATGTGTCTTATAGGAATAGTTTCTTGTTGCCCATAGCAAGCAATCAACCTTGCTCTGTAATTTTTATAGTCCATGATTAAAAAAGTGAACAAGGGTTCTGAATGGTCGCTAAAAGCAACAAAAAATGTTTGTTTTTTTAACACACTATATATGAGCCTCTGTGGGTCTTTTGTATTACATTCTTAATAGCTACATGAGTGATTTTCCAACAAGAACCATTCAGATACATACTTTCATAGCAGGTCTGGTGCTGAATGGTGGCTGAAGAGGAACAATTCCAGTTAATTTATAACAACCTATATGGTCACCAAAAAAATAGGGAAAGGGTACGCGTTGCCTATAGAAAATTCCAGCTATAATCTTTCTGACCAATTTATTTGTAGCTCTGATTTTCTGAGCTGTTGCAGAACAAGGCATCCTTTTCTATCCATTCATATTGGTTGCTATAGGCAACTGACATCCTATATTAATAAATGAATAAATGAGCACAGATTAATTATTCAACACAACTGTGCAAAATTCAATGATCAAATGCAAAATGCAGTAATCCAAAAAACCAATCAGATGTCAGTTTGCTCTGCATGGGCAAATCACTCACTCACTAAAAGCTGAACTTTAGTAAAAAAAAAAAAAGAGCTAAGAAATGGAGTTTGCAGCAATGCGCATCCTCCATAGAGATCAATACAACCTATAGTATAGTGCAGTTAAATAGCACCACACTGTAACTATGCCAAATCAAAATGCAGAGGTGTGAATGTAGTTTTTCAAGAATGCTTTTTAGGCCCAACCAGTAATACTAACGAAATATTTTTGTCAGGTATAAATTTATTTTTTTCCACTAGGTGGCAGCCACGTGAAAGAAATAATCGTTGTGTTGCCTAAAATGATAGCTATGCTTTCTTAAACTTCAAAATATTTTATTAAGGTTGTAAGAGAGAGACATATAAGGCTCAGAAATCCATGGCTGTGCACAGAAACAGCAGAGGCAGCTCCAAATAAATACTTTCTTACATCATAGGTTTAAAGAATTATATTAAGGATTCTGCAAAGTTTTTTGTTTGTTTTATATTTTCACAATGTTTTCTCTACATTAATAATGTATGTGTTATACATTAATGTATGTGTTATATAACAGCTCGTTTGCCTATCTGTCACGCTGTAGGAACTAAGTTTCTTAAGGTGCCCATACACCTTACGAATATCGGCCGATTTTCGTATGCGATCGCGTTTTCGTCCGATATTCATAAGCTTGATGGGCAGTGTACAACCGCAAATACTGTACAATCGATCGACTTTTGACTAACTAGCAGGTTAGAAAACTTTGGTCAATCGTACGATTTTCGCAAGGTTGGTGGCGTTTCCATACGTCAAAATTCGTACGAAACACTGCGCAGACGAAAACACGTGCGATTGCCACAATTTGTCCAGGTGCTTTCTTTTTTTAAATAAATTCTTTATTTAGATATTTTACAATTTTGCAGATAGAGAAAGAACAGAACATAAGTGACAAAAAACATCTTGACGGGTAGTCATAGTTATTTTGTAAGGCACAAAATCGTGTGTGTCATAACCATCTTTGGTGGCAAAAACCTCGAGGCAGGCATACATGGTAATCCGATCTGTGCCTTGTAATTATATGTCCAGCAAACCTAGGTGGAGTGTACCCATCATTCCAGTAACTATTTGTTATCAAGGCGTCATCAAGGCAGAAGAAGAGCAAAAACAAGAAGAGAAAAGGCATACAGCAGGTATCAGACAACAGAACTAAGAACAATACAATAGGATGGGGACAGGATACAGGGGATCATGACTCAGCAGAGGGTGAACTAAGGGGGGGGTGTCCGTCTCGGCAGGCGCAGAATTGAACAGAGCAGTAAAATCTTGATAGTGATATAGCACAGTGAAATAGCATTACAGGAGCAGCGCTAAACTATGTAGGCAAACCAAGATCCTAAGATTTATATACATACCATATTTAACAATGCACAATGAGGTGTGAGAGTTTTTCTTATTCCCTAACATTTTTTTTCCATCATCATGCCATGGTTTATATTAGTTGTTCATGCACTATGGTGAACAGTTGAAGGAGTCAAAGGAACCCTTTATTAGATACTCAAGTAAAGGGCAGCAACTTACCTGGTTCATATATATCATCCCCATGTTATCTCCACCAGCTCCTGGTATACCAGATGGTGCTTTGTGGGGGCCCTACTTTGGCAACATCCACCTAGTGTTGATGGGTTTACCTTTTGGGAAGGGAATGCTATACATTCCAACTATCCAGTGTCCAGCAATGTATAGTGTGGGCTTTTACCATGTTGTATAAAGAAAGCAGTTTACCTTCTCATCTTGAGACTGTGAGAAAAGCCTGTTGAAGGGTCTTGAGGACCCGGAACAACAATCAGGTTGTATTCGGTCCTGGCAACAAAGGCAGACATCTGACGAGTTCTTTTGAACAACATGTTCTTTGATTTTGTTTTTATTCTTAATTAGCCAGAGTGTAGTGAAACGTCACTGTTTTTGTCGGAATGGTAAGGTTCAAGATTTAGAGAAGTATGGCATCCCATTGAATAATATGCTTTGTAGCACTTAATTATACTGTATCTGCACTTACAGTTTGCTCTCGGTCCCCCTGCAATGTCCCACAACTTCTACTTGATTCTGCCAGTGATGTAGCTTTCTGTGATAATGTGGGAACGATGCTGCACTGCTCCTGAATTCAGAGCAGAGTTATTATTCTCTTGTAGACTTTTTCTGCTTGCATTACAACAAGCTGAAAAAATGTTTCAGGGAACGTGGCTATCAGCATTGTCTATACTGATTCACAGGCCTGTAGCGTGTCAATCAGCACCTGGCCACAGCTAGTTCTGCCACTGCGAGCCTCTCTTACTGTGAGCTGCAGTGTTTGGGAGGGAGAATGTGTGAGACACAAATGAAGGAGGATTTGGTCCAGTCAGAAAAATAAAACAAGTTTTTTGTTTATGCTGAGAAGCTTGTGCATTACATAGTAACTGGATTTGAGACTTGTTTCGACTATTGCACAGGAGCCTTTAGTTAATTAGTTGTACTTTAATGAACACAAGTAAAGTCACAGTTTTGCTGTGTGTTGAATTTTCAGGTCCGCCATAACTCCAGGTGCATCTATCCATCCAAATGTCCATGTACTCACGCAGGAAACGATTACGCTCCCGGAGAGTCAGTGGAAATTGACTGCAACACATGGTAGGTGTAGCTATGTTTTTATTTTATGCATTTATTTTCCATTGCACCGACATGCTGCTCTGCAGTGCACAACAAGTTACACAGCAATATAAATCACATTGGTCCGTTCCCTAGAAGAGTTCATACCATAATGCCCCTATACAATTATGACACACTCCAATGTCAAGGATTTTGTTTGGTCTTCTGAATTACTAGGGGAAGACTTAGAGGACCTAATCTACAGAGTGTCTGATCTTCACCACCGACTCTTCACAAGGAGACATGAAATTCCCTGGGATTACCACACTGATGAGAGATGACAGGCCAGCTATAGGGAACAGAAGAGCCAAGTTGCAAGACAAGGGCAAATAAATAGAAATCAGGTAGAACATCAAGGTAGGAACTAATAGGAAAGTCATGACAGGCGAAGGCAGACATGGTCAGGAATCAGGCAGGAAGTCAGGGAAGGCAGCACACAGTCATAGTCAGGAACCAGGTGGGAGGTCAAGGCAAGCAACAGACATATGTGGCCAGGACCCAGAGTGAAAGCCAGAGTTGGCAGTAGACATACATAGTTAGGAACCAGGTTGGAGATCAAGGCAGACAGCAGAAAAAAATATCCAAAGGTGAGTGGTGATGAGATGCACTACCAAAACGTTCTCTAGTCGGATAGGAGCAATATTTGGACCTGATGATTACAAAGGGAGGGATGCCCAGAGTGAGCTATCCATATGAATGTAGACTAAAAAAGGGCACAAGGGTCTCAAGAGTAAAAAAAAACAACTTTATTGGCTTCACAAATGATGACAAGATGATATGCACCGCCATTTCAGAGGTCAGGAATCCCGCTTAATCAGTGCTTAAACAAGGGACAACAGGACACTGATGGACTTCTAACTTACAGCCCCTGCACACAATCCTATTTCTCAGGCAGGAGTGGAGAAATAGATCTTTACCATCAGTTCAGCATTTGTAAAAGTAAAGTGTAAAGCTGTCAGGGACCAGTTGGAAAGACAGGGCAGAAGGAGAAAGAAACAGCCATGACCCAGGCAGGAGGTCAGGGTAAGTAGCATACTGGCATAGTCAGGAACCAGACGAGAGGTCACAGCAGGCAGCAAAGAGATGAATACAGTATCTAATGGCAAACATTAACATTCACCGATACAATGATTCACATTATGCTCATCATTTTCAAATATATGTCTTAATAATACTGTAAAATAACTATAATTACCCTTTCATCCCTTACAGACTATAGAACGCAGACCTAAACGCTAATTCACTAGCTAATATAGTGTAGGTAACAGGTCTACTCTTCCAATTCAAAGCCATATGGACATGAATGTGAACTCACAGCTGCAAGTACATCCGTGAAAGCAGAAGTGTGCTCACAAGATTGTGTTCTAAAATTGTCAACTTGCAGAGCCCACCATAGACTCTCTATGCTGGGCTATGCAGGGTCACCCTCAGGTGGGCTGGTCACACTCCTTACCTGTCCGCCTCCTCTTCCTCCACAGTCCTCCACAGTCGCTGATGGGCCCCACCTCCTCCTCTATCAACAGACCCTCCTCCTTCTTCGTCACCGAGCCCCGCCTCCTCCCCTGCTGCCGACCACGGGCCCCTCCTCCACTGCCGACTCTCATTGACTCTGTGGAGAGGAATGCACTGCTGCACAGATTACTGTCAGTTATCTGAACAGCGGCGTGTTCTTCTTCAGCCGCCAGTGAAAGCCACCAGCAGAGGATCCCATAGCGACCCAGGTGGCCCGCACGGCATCTGGCCGGCCCCATAGCGGCCGTCTGGGTCGCTATGGAAATTGTTACGCCACTGGGTCACAGTAAAGGGGCAAAAAAGGGAATTCAGGGATGAATACCTCCAGTCATGCAGGGGTTAGGGGACAGAGTGATCAAATTGTATTTATTGTTGCATGGTATTTTCCTCAGTACAAAACGCCTTCGTCTTACGAATGCTTGTGTACAGCTGACTACCCAGTCACCATAATAAACAGTAAACACACTTCCGATAATATCCCATTTACCCTAAATCTGCTGTTAATTTGGAAACATATCAGGAACAAATAACCTCTAAATTGCAGAGAAAACATTATTGCTCAACTATAGTCCTATTGTATTTCATTACTGGCCTTTTGGGTACGATAATGCGTTTTGTTAAATGCATCTCATAAATTCGGAGCATTATTAGAGCACAAATGTATAGTTCTGCTTATTTTTAAATAAATAGTTTTCTACAGAGGTAACTAAACATCTGTTGTTTTCTATAATGTGTTTTTTTACATACATTCTACAGAGGGAAACATTACATAGAAGGTCAATGAGAATATAATATTTTCAAGTGCTCAGTTACTTATTGGAAAATCTCCCTCAACCAAAACTGCCTAGATTTAAAGAGAAAGTAAAATGGTTTTCAGTAGCACATCGTCTGAGTAATTACTGTAATGTTTACTCAAAGGGTCAGTCTGCTGAAAAGTGATATTTTAGTGATCGGTGGAGCCTAGAGAGTCAACCTCTCGATTCCTATTTTGTTTTTTTATACAGCCACAGTGAGATCTCCTCCATCATAATTCATAACTCTGCTGTTGTCCTCCAGGGTGTTTTGGGTGTCCTTGTCCACCTGTGTGTGTTCCAGCATCTCCTGTTACATTTCCCATTATGTAAAATATCTAAAATATAGTTTAAGGATTGTCAGATACCTCCTCAACTTTTCTTTTGAAAGCCAAAATCTGGGCTATACTTCTTTTAATTAGGCCCCTGGCCTGTGTAAAAAAAAGAAATGGCAGCGCAAACTGCATTTCAGACCTGAGCTGTCCCCCACAGTACACATTTTCCACCATAAATTGTCCTCAGTCTTCTGGGTTGAGTGATGTGAAGTGTTCCTCCATCCAGAAGATTGAGGACTGTAAGTGCAGGGCATCATCACTGCAGCCTGCATTCACTGTGTAAAGGTGCAAAGACTGACACTGATGTATTAATTTAATCGCTGAACTCTGAGTGATCCACATCTTTGAGGATCACTCAGATCTACAGCATCATGTAACCAGCCTGAAGGCTTTGGAAAGGTGAGTAAGAAAACAAAAAATAGTA